AAGGAGTAGAGATGGAAGGTGAGGCAAAAACCAGAGCAAAGACCAAGGACTGCTATGCCACACACTTGGTATTACATATGAGAAAGCAGAAAAAGAAATCACGTTCTAAATCACAACTGGAAACAAAGAGAAAAGACAGAAGACTAGAGACAGATTTTGCTTCAGCAATTCCTTAGGATGTGAGACCCTTCCCCCTGAGAGCCTCTTCTCTCTTTAGAAGTCTCTTTAGAAATCCAAACCCGTTCTTGAGTGTGGGGCAGTTGTACGGAGTAGAAGGTGCTCATCTTTGCCTTCGAAGGATTAGGCAGGATCTATCTGAACCTTGTGTTAAGCAAGCTGAAGGCAGGAAGGAAGTTTGGGATGGCAGTGTCAAGAGTGCGGCCGGTGAACACCAAGGATCGGTAGGTTGTACCTGCAGCACTGGGACATCTGCACGGTTTGGGTAGGCAAAGGAGACATCTTGAAACTGGACAAGGCCCTTCAGGTTTACGGAAGTCAATACGCCACTGGCAGGACAGCGAGGAATCCGGTCCAGGTATTCAAATATTTTCTCTGAAGAGCCCACAGCCTTCTGTACCTTGGGGTAGGTGGAGAGCAGTACCTGGAGGCGAGGTATGAGTATTGAGAAGGGGGAGAACGAATCTCCTTGCCAAGGTTATGTGATACGAGAAGGGTAAAGAACAGAAGGAAGGTGACACAGGTGGTGACAGAACGTGGGACAGAAAAGCACGGGAGAATGAAAATGGAAGGGTCTCACCTGAACTACCGCGGTGAACTGGATCTGGTAGAGAATAAATGTGACAAGGTCCCCACTGCTTACAGCCCCACTTGTCACCAGCCGCCCACCGATGTATAGGATTCCCACCTTCAGCAGCATCTCTGAGAGCTATGGGAAAGCCACAGAGAAAAGGGATTGTGGTTGAAAAATCTCGAGGGAGGTGCAAAGAACTAGACTCATTAGTCATTATGAAGATGTAAAGTCCTTTTCCCCCAGGTAAGAGCCGGAGGCTCCCCAGGGGGACAGGAAGAATGCCGAGTGGGGGCTCCATGGTGTCTTGCTCAGTTACACCACAGAAGCCATCACCATCATTATCACTGTTGAGGAGCATTTTGCTCTTCACAAAAGGCTTTCGTGAATGTAGTGCCATCTAACATTCATATCAACAACGCTGTAGACAAGGTCGTACCAATCCCACCTTTTAAAATGAGGAAACGGTCTCCAGAGAAAATAAGTTACTAGCCCATGGTCATAGAGCTAGTAAACGGCAGCCACCAAGCCAGGAATTCCCAAATATGGCTCTGGTTCTCTTTCCATTATATGATGGCTCTCACTAGCACAGCCACAGAGTCCCAGCATGATGCAGGACCAGGTGCAGGAATTTATGGCTCCCTGAGTGCTGCCTGAGAGGCAAAGGAAGGCCCTGGGACTGGAAAACGTGGCCTCTCCCTAAAAAGGGGGCTGGATGGACTCTGCGTACCTTGGTGAAAGGAAGCCATCCAGAGGGCCTAAAAAGAGGGAGGCAGTTAGGAACGCTGAGTAGGATGAGAACACCGAACCAACCATTGCCCAGTGGAGGAGGAGTGTGGAACAGAGTCATGGAAAAGGGAATGGAGTCGAGGCATCTCAGGGGCAAGAGAATAGGCATTTATCTCCGGGTGCTCACACTGATGGTCCAGAGGTCGACTGCATAGGCCAGAGCCTCCTTCTGATGGAGTGTCTTCATATTCTGCAGCTTTTGCCTAAACTTCTGGGCCTCACCCTCCTCATTGGCAAAGCTCCGGACTGTGGGCATAGCTGACAGAACCTCAATGGCCACCTGGCTGGATTCCGCCAGAGATTCCTGGACCTGTGCTGCCAGTGCCTGTGGAGACATGGACAAGAGATGTCACACGGGGTTGGCAGACCGTAAGGGACACTCATACCTGAGTTACCTAGTTGGAGATTAAAGGTGAGAAGAGGCAGCTGAATGAAGAAAAGAGCAAGGGGCACCGTTATACTCCCTGGATACTAAAGAGGCACACAGGAGAGGAAATCACTGAGAAGGGTCGTAGAGAATCACAATCTTGAGACCAGTGATCATGTTTGTAAAGGAAGATTGTGGGCAGAAGTTAGGAGAGAGTACACACAGAACATGGAGCTCAACACTGAGCAATCCAGGAACAGGGCTTATAGGGCCAGGGAGTCCCGCGAAGATGGGGAATCAAGTGAGGGAGCCAGGAAAGAACCCTGAGAGGAATGAATTCTGCCTAGTCTGGGAAACGAAGGTCTGTTTAGGGTGAGGCATCTCCCTGGACATACCTGGTACCATTTCCCCAGCGTCTTAGGCATAAGAAAAAGCAGAGGCAGGACGACCAGGGTGACCATGGTGAGGGACAGTGACCCCCAGAGCATGAGCCCCAAGAGACACAGCCCCCGCACCAGGTACCACAAAAACAGGCTCAGCTCCTCACTCAGAGACTCACTCAGGGTGGATGTGTCCTCTGTCACCCGAGAAGTGATGGCTCCTGCCAGGGATTGGGAAGAAGACAGTGGATGCATGAGAGGCTCTGGTGGGTGGGACTAGCAATGAGCCAGGGGGAGGGGGAGGGGGGACAACACCATGTTCTGAGGAGGCTGAGGAAAACAAGGTAAGGGGGAGAGGGCAGTTGAGGGATCTCAGTGTAGGGAGAATGAGCATTAGAAAGAAAAAGCCCAGGGGCGCCTGGGTGGCTCAGTTGGTTAAGCATCCGACTTCAGCTCAGGTCATGATCTCACAGTTTGTGAGTTCGAGCCCCCATGTCGGGCTCTGTGCCGACAGCTCAGAGCCTGGCACCTGCTTTGGATTCTGTGTCTCCCCCTCTCTCTGCCCCTCCCCTGCTGGTGCTCTGTCTCTCTATCTCAAAAATAAACATTTAAGAAGGAAGGCAGGGAGGGAGGGAGGGAGACAAAGGAGAAAGCCTGGCGGAAGGAAGGAAGGAAGGCAGGCTCCCCATGTGAATTTCCATTTCTCTGACAGATTTTTGTTCCTTAAAGAACACGAATACCCCATGCTGCCTACAAGGGCAAGAAGAGCTTAAGCGGGTCACACAACAGAGCTGGAGAAAAACAGAGGGTGCTGCTAGAAAGCAGTCCAGAAAAGTATACTGAGCACTGGGCTGGGAATCAAGAGACGGGCTCTATCCCCAAGCGCCTCTCTATCCATAGGTGACCATGCCAGTTTCAGCATTTAGGGTCCAGGTGTCAGTTTCCTTCTCTGTAAAATAGGCAGCTGGACTCTGTGACCTCCAAATTTCCAGGTTTGAAATTCTGTAGCTTCTATCTAAATAGACACATAGGGATAAATCATGGAAAAATCTTAGATGGAAAAACTTCAGAATATTATAAGATAACATAACATAAAATTTTTGCTCTTGAGGTATATCGAGAATAAGAAATGACAATGTCTATGTGTGAGAGAGACCAAAGTTATAAGTAAAAGAGGATATATGGGGCATATAGGGAGAATGCAGATATATAACGAAAGAGTTTCGGGACACACCTGTTTGGTTCTTTTGGAAAAACTCTGTTTCCTGGCGCAGAACAGCCTGAAATACTTCTCCCTGCAACTGGCTGTGCACACGACCCATGGTGCTGTTATAGATCCCATCACCCACGAACTCCAGCACTGCGCTAGAGAGAGATGGAGAGAAAAAGGATCGGGGTGTGTTCAGAGGACAGAGAGAAGGTCCCAAAGAAGTGCACTTTGGACAGCTGCCCCAACTTCTATCTCCCCCTTTTTCTGGGCCCCCCATTCTCAACCTTCCGCCTTCATTCAGCCCCCAGACCTGGCTGTGGTGAGAATGGACATGAGCGTTATGTATCTCATGAAACCAGAAGCTGTCCCATCTTGTAGAATGAAGTCAATGAGGCGGCCGGTGAAGAAGGGCATGGCCATCTCCCCTGGAGAGAGAAAGGAGGGACCGGTCAGCCAAGCAGATAAGCTCCAACCAGACTGCCCCCCCCCTCCAGCCCATCCCACTGTTTCACTGTCACCAGTATCCTGAGGGCACCAGCAGAAAGAGGACACTGAGAACACAGCCCTGCGCCTGAACAGGTCACCTTGGAACTCACAACCTGGAGCCCCACCAGACTTTTGTGCGTTTGCTTAGGAAGGCCAGAGGTCATAGGGTGTGCTGACCAGAAGAAAGGACTGGCCCAAGGTGGCCGGTGAAGCAACGTCTGAGGTAGCATTGGAGTCCACGACTCCTGACTCAGACCCAGTCCAGAGCTCTTTCCTGGTGGTCTTCTCACGACCAGAGCTGGGTCGCCTTCCCCCATCCACATTTCCCAGAACCCACATTAACCGATCTCACTGCCCATTACTTTTGATGCCCGCCCAGTCCCCTACTGTCCGTCCCTCTTACCCGCATCCCTCTTACCAAGACAAGAGAGGACACACAGGACCAACAGGAGCGGGACGCGTCGTCTCTCTGAACCCAGGCAGCCTACAAGCCGGCGCACCGCACCTCCTGAACCCCCGTGACTTTCCGGCACACAAAGTTCCCTGAGCTTATGCCAAATGGCAGCGGCAGGCAATGCTGCTACATAACTGAGGGCGAAGGCATCCAGGCGACTTCCCCAGTGCAGGATCCTGGAGCTGTGAGAATCCCTGGGAACTCTCCATGAGCTCAGCTCTAGGAACAAGGCAAGTCCCGGCAGGGCCAAGCTCAGCGCCGCTGCCAACGACTGCAAAGCAGCCAGCCAGCCCCGGACTCCTGCGCTTTCGCTCCCGGAGCCGACCGTTGCCCTGAGAACCCCACGGGCCCCCAGCCACAGCACAGCCCAGCGGCTCAGGCCCACCACCCAGACCCGGAGCAGCGGCAGCGCGGTGGGCACCAGCACGGAGCATATTCCGGGGAGCGCGCCCCGGAGCAGCACCCAGTCGACGAGAACCAGCAGCGCTATCCCCAGCCACGCGAGGGAAGTTCGGGAAGGACAGAGGCATCCGCAAGGCCTGGGGGGCCCAGAGCTGGCCATGGGCGCGCGAGCGCTGCCGGGGGTCGCGCCCCCGCCTGGGACTCTCCGCTGTCCCCGCCGTGCCGGAGGCTCTGGGTGCCGATCGAGTCTGTGCCGGTGAGGGCGCAGGGACCGGCGGCCGGGAGAAGAGGGAAGGGCGGGCGGAGGCAGGGCTTTCGGAAAGTCCCGGGAACGCAAGGTTCAGGCCGCGCTAGCTAGAAGCCAGCCGTTTCGCGGAAAGGGAAAACGAAAGCGGCAGGCCGCTCTGTAGATCCGCCCCCCTTCAGAATGTGGCCCGCCCAGACTATTTTGGGAGAAGGCGTGGGAATCCGATCTGAGGTTCTGGAGAGAGAAGTCTTGAGGCTCCGCCTGCTCCATCAAGCACACTCGTCCTTCCTTTCATTGCTACCTCTTGCGGATCCCACTTGTCGGGACTTTCTTTACCCCAGCCTTGGGACCTTCTTAACCCCAGGCCTTTTCGTCACTTGTCTCTGGGCAGTTCTGTCCTAAGTAGGTTAGCGCCTGGGGCGAAGCCGCACCGAAAGGACCCCGGCGCCCCCTAGCGGTCTTGGTGAGGGCGCGGGGCTGTATAGGCTGAGTGCTGCCCTCGGTCCCAGGAAGAAAACCAGTGCCCCAGGCGGCAAGGAGAGCGGCGCCTCGCGGAGATGCTGCGGTCTGGCGAGGTCCACACTGGGGTAAGTAGTCTGTGCTAGAGGTTTAGCAGAGGGGCGGAGAAGGTGGCAAGACAGGGGGACCCCGAAAGCTCTGAGGTGTGAATATGGTGACTAACAGAGTGAGAAGGTAGTTTGTGGCAGCCAGTCAGTGCCTGTAGAGATGCCCTGCGATGAATACAGGACATGTCTATTCTGAAGGGGGTCTTGAAGGGGTCCGCGAAGGACTAGGCGCGCGACGCTGGTGGAGAAGGAGGTGCTTTGGCTCTTAGCTGGAAGTGTTGAGGGGAAGCTTCTCTGAAGCGCTTTCGCTTTCAACTCTGGACTAGAGAGAGGGGCTGGTTAAATCAAGGAAGGGGGTCGGAGAAGGTGCAGATGGATGAAGAAATGGTGCCCTGGGGGAAGTAGGAGCGCGCTTGGGAGAGGAGAATAGGGGCACTGATTGAGAAGGGACAGCTCATCACACAGATCTTTGATAAACTGGCCCCTGCGTAACTCATACCCCCAGCCCTGATAATGGGGGCTCCTTGCGAGCTGGTGGTGCCCTTCACCAGCCTGATCCACGAAGGCTCCTGCTTGGCCCGGGTGCTGCTGTGCTCCCTTCCCTGGGTCGTCCCTGCCCACTCCCATCCGCCCGCCCAGGCTCAAGGCTGGCTGGCTTCTGCTCCCAAACTACTGCCACCACCCTTGGCTTGGGGGCAGCTTTGTCTTAGAGAAATAACCTCTAGAATAGGGCTGCCCTTATTCAATGGCCCTCTCTTCATGGTAAGTCAATATGTCTGAAAGCACACTCAGGGCTATAGCCCCGGGGTCCAGAGTAACTTATGGGGTGATGAGAATGCACTAAAACCATTTATAAGGTAGAAAATCTCCCCTCCCTGCCTGATGAGCAGTGGGAAGTAGGAAACAGAAGTCAAAACAAGAGGTGGGAGTTAGACCTGGGTTTTAGTCCCAGTCTGCTATTAACTCTGGGTGACCTTGATAAGTCAGTTGCCTCCTCTATGATTCAGTCTCCTCATTCGAACCAAGAATCTTTAAGGCTCTTTCCAACTCAACAGGAGTAGAAACCGTATAGCTTTATTCTTTTCACCTTCCTGAATTCTTTTCCTTAATTTCTCTTCTTGACCTGAAAAAATCAGCTTTTCTTGACCTGAAAAACTCCCCCAACAAGCCGCCTCAACGGTACAGATCTCTTCCCCTAGCTACTGTTGACCTCTTGATCAGAAATCCTTAAATGAAAGCTTCATGTTAAATCATCTCATGTCCCTGGCTGCCTCCCTCCTTACTAATGCATGACCCTGCTAACCGCTGCGGCCCTTGATGTTTTCTGCTGTTTAATAAGCTAGTTAAGGGGGATGTGGGGTAGAGAATTGTGGGCCAAAAGAAGACATGACCCTGTTTCCCAAGGTCACAGTCACTTGCTCTGTGTTGGGTCCGTACCATATCTGCACACACACACACCAAGCACACGTGGTGGAAGTAATTCACCTGTGGGGCTGCCTTGCACCACAAGTACTGGGGCGCCAGTGCTTGAAAGTGCCCCCCTGAGCCAAATGTCTACCTCTGAAAACCTCATCCCACCTCTTTCTTTATCGTTGGGAAGGATTCTACTTAGGAAGGTTGGGACCTACGGATGTGGTTCTTTCGACCAGGCATTCTCTTGCAGCTAGGAGAGGAGATAGGGAAAATGGGAAGATGGAAGGGAAATCCCGTATTGGGAGTCATCTTGGCCTAAATTACTGTATGACCTTGAGCCGGTCACCTCCCCTCTCTGGGAATGTTTCCTCATCTGTAACATGAGAGAATCAAGACTCTTCCTGCTCTGACATCTCATCCTCCACATCTCCGCAGACGACCATCATGGCAGTGGAGTTCGACGGAGGTGTTGTGGTGGGTTCTGACTCCCGGGTGTCTGTAGGGTAAGTACCCGTCAAGGCGAATGCTTCTGGAAGGATGTCAATGGCTCCCAAAACGGATTTTTCTTACCCGTTCGTGAAGAGACTGGTAAGGTAGAACTTTGAAGAAATTGAGTTAACCTTTCAGAAAGGCCCCTATAATGAGATATATGGCAAGTGTATGGGTCCCTGAATTCATGGAGGAGAATCAGGAGCCTGAATGCTTACGTGGCCTGTCCCTACAGGAGTGGGTATATAAGAATAAGGTATGAGAAGGAGGTAGGATACAAAGATTTCAGGGTCCCTCCTTCCATCTATGTTTAGAAATAGAAAAGATGGTTCTGGGCACCTGGGTGGTTCAGTCAGCTGAGCATCTGACTCTTGATTTCAGCTCAGGTCATGATCCCAGGGTCGTGGGATCGAGCCCCAAGTCCTCACTGAGTGTGAAGCCTGCTTAAGATTCTTTCTCTCCCTCTCTCTGTTTCTCTCTCCCACTCATGCTCTCCCCCACTCATGCTCTCTCTCTAAAATGAAATGAAATGAGATGAATAAAATAGAGTAAAATAAAATAAAATAAAGTAGAAAGGAAAGAAAAGATGGTTCTGCCAAGCAGATATCCTAGCTTCTCATCCGGTACATGTTGAACTAATTTTGTCTCCTCCATTCTGACCAGTTTCCTCATATGCGAAATGGGTATATGGGATTAGGTCAATATTGCTTACTTTATGTCCCAAAGAACACACAACTTCCTCTAGATGGGTATAGTAAAGAAAAATTGCTTAAGCACATTATTCTTAAGGTACTATTTTTTGTTTTATTATAAACTCTAAGCCTGAAAAGTAAGTCTAATTTTGATCATTACTTGCAATATTTTGTTTAATTTGAGATGATTTTTTTTCCTGCTCCAATCCAAGTATGAAATTTCATGTACTCTGTGGTGGCTGTCCTCTTGTCAAATAAATTTGACAAACACTGGATGATTAACCTCAAAAATTGTGGCAACACTAACGCTGATGACTGTTGACTCCTTCCCAGCAGAAAGGCAGTGGTAAACCGAGTGTTTAACAAGCTGTCTCCACTACACCAACACATCTATTGTGCTCTCTCTGGTTCGGCTGCTGATGCCCAAGCCATGGTTGACATGGCCGCCTACCAACTGGAGCTCCATGGGTATGAAGCTTTGGGGTTCCCAGTCCACAACCACTAGAGTTCTCCCAACCAGAAAACCGCTATAGTGTCCTATTCCAGGAGCACTGCAGTGAAAAGTGAAAAATTCTTGTTTGGAGTCCTGTTTTTATTATCTTTGAAATGGCACTTGAATCCCAAACCTGGTTTCTGCATCTGTAAAGTGGAGATAATTAATAATACCTACCCTATCTCACCCAATGGTTATTTTGAGAATGAAATGATCCATGCGGAAATGACTTGAAAATTGTAAATCACTATCCTAATATAAATAACGAGAAAGAAGATGATGATGTGGCCTACCATACTCTCAGGCAGTTACCCTGTGAGAAGCCAAGATCACTTCTTGGTGCAGAAGTAAAGCTTATCTGCTTTTATCCAGAGAGGCAGGGCCGTTTCAGCCAAGAGTTATACAATTGGGGGGATGGGTGGGTAGGACAAAGAGTAAAGGAGGGGAACACTGAAATCTTCTTAACAGTTGGTTGTGTGAGATTGGCCTCCCTGTACATGTGGGAGAGAAGCTGGAGTTTGAACTATTACAAGTATGGGTTTCAGATTTCAGGTGTCCCTTGGCAGGGATCATGGGAACAGCACAGGAGGGTGGAACGTCTGGAAATTATATTGAGCCCTATTACTAACACTTCGTTTAGGTTGGAACTGGAAGAATGTCCGCTTGTTCTAGCTGCTGCCAACGTGGTAAGGAATATCTCTTATAAATATCGGGAGGACCTGTCTGCACATCTCATAGTAGCTGGCTGGGACCAACGTGACGGGGGCCAGGTGAGTCTTTCCCAATGTACTCCCTCCCTTGGTGTTCCCCACTACCCTAGAGAGGGAGATAGAGGTCATATGTCATTCTAGCAATGAGTTCCAAGGACACTGCCTTTAAAAGCATAGTATAATCTCAACGGACGGGAAAAAGAGATAGTGGGGCTTCGTTGCAGAATAGAGACACCCTGACTGTCTCAGTGGCAAGGAGAGGATTGATGCTTCCGTAGTCTGACCTGAGGACACCTCCCCTAGGTGTACGGAACCCTGGGAGGAATGCTGACTCGGCAGCCCTTTGCCATCGGTGGCTCTGGCAGCACCTATATCTACGGTTATGTGGATGCGGCATATAAACCAGGCATGTCCCCTGAGGAGTGCAGGTGTTTCACCACCAAAGGTAACTAACCAAACGGAAGGGTGCCTGGGGAGGGTTTTCAAACACAGGAAGGAAGTTGAGAGTAAGGAACACAATGAGGAATACACGAGTGGCCATTTAATGTCCAAACTGGAACACTTTTGAGAGTGAAAGAATGCAGGACAATGCTACACTAGATGGGACTTCAGAACAAAGGCAAAGATCTGACTATTTTTTTGAGTACCCCATATTAAAATATACAGTTACTCTGAGAATCACTGGTGTGCTAGAGTGGGCTTGGGCTAGCTCATGAGAGTCAATTGTTAAATATTCAAGGATTCATAAGCTGCTTATTTAGCTATTCATAACTCGAAATCCATTGTGGTGAGAGTTTTGAGACCACCAACACCAGGAGATGTTACAATAAAGACTTTATTTTTTTAAGTTGGTTTACCAGCACACCACTTGATATGTGTCCCTAGGAGATGGGTTTTCAGGTCTGAAAGTGGTAGTAAGCTTATAGACAGGACGGGAAGGAAAAGATTTCTGAGGCTAAGTCATTCTCTTTCCCTCTCTCCAACCTGAAACCCTCTGCAGCTATCACTCTGGCCATGAACCGGGATGGTTCTAGTGGGGGTGTCATCTACCTGGCCACTATTACAGCTGCTGGTGTGGACCATCGAGTAATTTTGGGTAATGAGCTGCCGAAATTCTATGACAAGTGAATCTTCCTCAGACCTCCTTTCCTTATTTTGTAAATAAACTGTCTGGGACCAGAACCTGGTATGGTCAACGGAAAATGGGTGCTCAAGGAGATGAAGGTTAGGGGAGGGGGCTTCTTCCCTCCCAGAAGTTAGATACCCTTTCTTAATGTGTTCATTCACATTAAAGATCAATACATGACAATTGCTTAAAATTGAATGATTTGTGAGTCTCAAAGAACAATAACAACCATCAAAACACTGAGCAAGGTATTCGCTAAATGCTTATAAACTTTATCTCTTATAACCCAAACAAAAGAACTTACATGGATTAGACTACTACTTCCATTTACAGACAGATGAAGGCTTAGAAAAGGTTGGTCCCTTGACCCAAGTCAAAGCAAATTCAAAAGCAGAAATCTGGAATTTAGTTCTTTTTTTTTTACCGTATGCCCTTCCTCTCCCACTATATGAAACTTTCCATTCCCTCAAGCATCGTATATCATGTCTTCCTTGAAATCTGCAATAGTTAGCCAGCACAGTGGTTGACACTCAAGAAGTTATTACCAGATGCCTGAGTAACTGTTGTTAAACAGGCCGACTTACAGCCCAATCTTTGCCATGCACTTCCCAAGTGACAGGACAAATTATCCCCCTTCTGTGAGCCCTCACTTCCTCTTCTGTCAGGCAGAGATGTTGAGCTACTTCTAAGGTGGGATATGGCTTGGATATCCAATGCCATCTTGCTAATAAGTGAGCAGATAAGAGATATATTTAACAGAAATCATAGTAGGCTACCCAGGAAGCTGCTGTCTGCTTTTCTTTCTGGATCTCGGGCTTAACATATAAATTCAAAGTACCCTAAAACAAGCCTATGCCCTCGGGAGTATGTGTTTCATTTGGAGGAGAAGAAAAAAATCTAAAATTGTAGAGACTTGAGTTCTTTCTAGCCATGGTATTTAATTTATTCTGAAGTTTAAAGTAATAGCTTAAGAACCTCTCTCTCCCACTGATCACAACTAGAAACTCTGGAAAGCAGACAAAGAGCAAATGCGGAAGGACTCTGAACAGTAGACAAAAGCGGGTGGGCTATGAGGAGAGCCAAAACTTGGAGAGGGAGCGCTCCCCATGGGTAGTTTTGGACTTGTCTCCCTCTTTCATCTCCCAGCTTTGTCCTGAAGTCAGGCCTCAGGTGCAAAGCCGAAGTGCCCTAAATTGCCTAGAGAAACATCATTGTTCTGGCTGGAGGAATGGAGGAACCGGAAAAAAAGGAACCCTGTGTAGGGGAAGAGTGCAGGGGGGTTCCCACACGAGGGAGCTGGCTGGAGAAGGGTATTCCTTGAGTCTAGGTGGGAACTCTCACGAGTACCGAGTGCCCCTGAGATACACACACGTGAGGCACAGCACGGACTTTTTGAGGGCTGAACTAAGATTTAAGCCTTTTGAAACTAGAAAGCTGTCTTTTTCTTTATTGGCCAATGAATTGTGTCTTGTGTCCCTCGTTCCAAAAAGGACTTGTAGCAGTTCACAGAGACAGACACAACTGAAAAAGGGGAAGGAAGAGAAGAAACTGGGCAGAGAGAAAATAAAGCTAGGAAATAAGTAAAGCCAGGGGATCAAACTAAAACACAAAATGAACATCTTCTGTTAAGATTCTCAGGATCCACATAACAGTAAAAACATATGGTATTTTCTTTCTCTGTATGACTTATTTCACTTAGCATCACACTCTCCAGTTCCGTGGGGGAGGGGAAGAAGAAAAAAGAGGTTAGACTCTGAGGGAGAGAGCCAAAGCATAAGAGACTCTTAAAAACTGAGAACAGGGGCGCCTGGGTGGCGCAGTCGGTTAAGCGTCCGACTTCAGCCAGGTCACGATCTCACGGTCCGTGAGTTCGAGGCCCGCGTCGGGCTCTGGGCTGATGGCTCAGAGCCTGGAGCCTGTTTCCGATTCTGTGTCTCCCTCTCTCTCTGCCCCTCCCCCGTTCATGCTCTGTCTCTCTCTGTCCCAAAAATAAAAAATAAACATTGAAAAAAAAAAACCTGAGAACAAACTGAGGGTTGCTGGGGGGTGGGAGGGAGGGGAGAGTGGGTGACGGGTAGTGAGGAGGGCACCTTTTGGGATGAGCACTGGGTGTTGTATGGAAACCAATTTGACAATAAATTTCATATTAAAAAAATGAACATCAAAAAAAAAAAAAAGAAAAGAAAAGAAAAGAAATGGAGTACTGGATTTGTCTTATACTGGCAAACAAGAGCAAATTGTAAAATATTCAGAAATTGTGACAGACGATTGTTAACCATGGGTATCTTAACATTGGCCATGATTGGAAGTATTTATTCTACAGAAACGAGGAATGTTACACGTCAGAATTTTTTCCCCAGAGAGCCAGTTTAACAGGGCATATATTTATCAACCAGCTACAGATGGGTAAAAAACAATTGGCTCTGAGCTACAAGGTGGTGAAAACAAAGAAGGAAAGGAAATCAGGTATGAGGTTCAAAAGATTCATATAAAAAGGTACAGCACTTGGGGCACCTGGGTGGCTCAGTCGGTTGAGTGTCCAACTTCGGCTCAGGTCATGATCTCGCAGTCTGTGAGTTTGAGCCCCGCATCGGACTCTGTGCTGACAGCCTGGAGCCTGTTTCTGATTCTGTGTCTCCCTCTATCTCTGCCCCTCCCCTGCTCATGCTCTGTCTCTCTGTCTCTGTCTCTCTCTCTCTCTCTCTCTCTCGTCAAAAATAAATAAACCTTTTTTTAATGTAAAAAAATAATAAATAAAAGGTACAACACAGGGAATATAGTTAATGATATTGTAATAGTGTTGTGTGGTGACAGATGGCAGCTACAACTTGTGTTGGACGTAGCATAACATAAACTTGTGGGATCACTATGTTGTACACCTGAAACTAATATAACATTATGTGTCAACCATACTTCAATTTTTAAAAATTAACTAAAAAGAAACCATCCAACAAAAACAACTCTATATACATGAATAAATTTTCAAGTCACATAGAGGATTTGCAAAAACAGGCTATGCATGATACCCTAAAGGAAACTACAGTAGATTCCAAAGTATCAGTATCTTTGAAAAAAGCTACATTTTATAGCCATATTATACTAAAAGTAGAACTTGATAACAAAAGGATACCTAAAATTCTCACAGTTTGCAAACTAAGAAAGTATTAATGAATAACGTGGATTTAAAAGGCAGTCATGGGGTGCCTGGGTGGCTCAGCCAGTTAAGTGTCTGACTTTGGCTCGGGTCACGATCTCACAGCCCATGAGTTCAAGCCCCACATCGGGCTCTGTGCTGACCATTCAGAGCCTAGAGCCTGCTTCACATTCTGTGTCTGCCCGTCCTCCACTCACACTCTGTCTCTCAAAAATAAATAAGTGTTAAAAAATAACAATAATAGTAAATGATAAATGGCAACGACATTTTAAAAAATAAAAGGCAGTCATGAGAGAAAATAACACGTTTAGAACTAGGTGGTAAAAATGTTGCATATCAAATTTTATGAGATGCAGTTAAAGCAGTACTCAGAATTTTACAGCTTCAAATACATTTATTACAACAAGAAAAGTTAAATATAAATGGCCTAAAATTTCTCCAAAATTTTGAAAAAGAGTGATTGAATAAACTTAAAGCAATAAGAAGGAAGGAAATTATAAAGATAAGAATAGAAAGCAATTTAATAGAGAACAAAAACTATGTAGTAAAAATTCACAAAACCGAAAGCTCCTTCTTAAAAAAATATTTGTAAGATACTCAAATTTAGAACAAGACTAATGATGAATAAAGGGGAGAGAAAATGAAGAAACAACATACGGAATGAAAAGGGGAGAATAGCCTACAAATATTACAGATATGAAACTTAATAAAGGGTATAATTATCAAATCGAAAATTGAAAAATTTCGATGAGACAGATAGCTCCTAGAAAAATTTAAACTAATGCAATTTGTACAAGAAATAAAAATTTGAGAATACCAATAAATATTGAAGAAATGAAAAAAGTTGCTAATAGCATCTGATAAAAATAATTTTTTTAAATGCCCACATGGTTTCACAGGTGAGTTCCATCAAACATTCAAAGAGTATACAACTCCTATCATATGTGCTTTTTTCCAGAAAATAGAAAAAAGATTAAAGCTGTTCAGCTAATTTTATTAGGCTAGCATAATCTTGATTTCAAAATGAGGTATGGGGAGGGCACCTGGGTGGCTGAGTTGGTTAAGTGTCCTACTCTTGATTTCTGCTCGGGTCATGATCTCACTTGATTTCGGCTCAGGTCATAATCTCATGGTTAGTGGGTTTGAGCCCCGCGTCAGGTTCTGCACTGACAGCACAGAGCCTGCTTGGGATTCTCTCTCCCTCTCTCTCTGCCTCTCTCTCTCTCTCTCAAAATAAATAAATAAACATTTTTAAAAGAGGCGGAGGAACAAAAAAGGTAATAGAATGAACTGTTAAGCACAAAGCAACTCACTTTGAATAAAGAATATATACACACAAAACAATACACATTTTTCAAGAATACATATAACCAAAAGATATATACAAAACACAGGAGAAGGGTTTCCTTTGGTGAAGGGAAAGAAACTGGAATTTGGGAAACGTGCATCAAAAGAAATAAATAGTAACAAACATAGAGAAGATTTTGTATGGACCAGTGATGACCATGTGCCATGAACTGAGGAATATAATTCTACTATTTGTGTGTAAGATTTTTTTTTAATTAATGACTCAAAGAAAATCATAGCTCTGAGAGCAATTTATTCTATATTTCCATGACAAATATTCGATAATTCCCTATTTTTTCCATCTAACTAAATACAGGGAATATAGTTAAAGTGTTCAGTTGAAGATCAGTATTTAGACAGGGGAGATAGAAACTAAAAAAGCTTAGATTCCTCCCTACATTTACAGCATCTCTTTCCAATTAATTATCTCCAGTAATATGTATTTTTTATTCTAAGTCTTTTAGAATCTAATAAACATCCTTTTTTTTATATAATGAGCCAGAATATATGGATTATCTTTGGTCCTCTTTACCAAATTCTTAACTCTGCTGGTTATGGGCATACATTGTAAGAAGAAAACTGTCTTAATTCCATTGACCTTATTCAGAAGCATTGGAAATTGGTTCAACAATATTCAACTTTACCCAACAATGTTTATGACAGAGTTGTATGTGGGGTATAGGTAT